AGAGAGAGAGAGAGAGAAAGAGAGAGAGAGAGAGAAAGATAAAAAGAGAGAGAGAGAGAGAGAGAGAGAGAGAGAGAAAGAGAGAAAAAGGGAGGGAGACAGACAGAGTGGGAGAGGGGAGTCACTGCTATTACAATCAACCAAGCCCTATTGAATTACGACAGTGAGAACAAACAAAGCTGACCACTGTCAATGTCTTGTTCAGCACCATTGCCTCACCTCCTCCCATGACACCCAAAAGGGTATATAAAGCAAAGCTGTTCCCGCATCCAATCCGGATATTGGGTATTGCCTTGTTAGTGAGACAACTTCCTGGGCCTTTGGCATAATGGTAGGGTGGCCCGTTCCTTTCCACGCCGCCTTTACTTCCCCAACTCGAAGTCAGGTACCCAATACTGCTGGGTGGGCAGGAGGGGCGAAAAAAATTTGTGTCCGAACTGAGGATCGAACCAGGACTTTCCGCTCCAGAGATGAGCGCACTAAGTGCTCCACCACCGCACCCTCCAAAAGGGTATAAGCGGGGAAAAAATAAAGAAGAAGCCTAGTGGTCAGACTACCGGACTCGTAATCCTGAGGTTACGGGTTCGGGGGTTCAAGCCGCGGGCCCGATGTTGTGTCCTTGGAAAAGGCACTTTACACGAATTTTCCTCACTTCACCCAGGTGGGAATGGGTACCCGGCTATAGACAGTGAAAGATCTTGTCAGCATGTTAGTGTTTTAGCGCCTATAAATGGCTGCTTGCACTGTATGCTTTCCATAAAATTGAGGTTGTCTCAGAATGCTCTCAGGTCTGCTGGGGTAATAGTATCATAGATTGTGAAGCGCATAGAGCTTGCTGCTGAGTGGGGATTTGCTCCATACAAATGCTATCTATTATTATTACGACAATCATTAATATGTAAGCCTCACCTCCACAAATGAGCTCGTTGTAATGGTTGCACGAGTAGTCGTCACACTCGCAGTATTTGCCGCTGAAGAGCTTGGCCGAGTCGGAGGAACGCGTGGAACACTTGCACTTCCCACACTCACAACTGCCGCGGCCGGAGCAAGGAACTGTGGCGTTGGGCCTGGGGAACATAGGTATTTTTGTGTTTTTAGTTCTTCACATCTTAGAATACTTCTAGTACGAAGATCTCTTTGGAACTTTCAGAATTCACCTTTTATCTTCCATTTTCAGTGTTTTTAGTATTCTCAATATGCTTGCAGAATTTGGAAGGATTTTTAGAAGAACTTCTCATTAACATTGGAGTGGTTGGTTTTAGTTTTAGTAGAGGTTTTACGGCGCTCGCATCTGCATAAGGTCATATGAGCGCCAGAAGATTAGAGGTGTTAAAGAGAGTAACAAACATAAAAAAGAAGAAGGGGAGATAACGATGATAGATGTTTGATAGGAAAGAAGAAGCAAACCATACCAGAGCACCCACAAACCACCCATATCTTTATGTTTAGTGACAACACACAAAACACAGCTGATAAAAACCGGAATCGGAAAAGTAAAGTAAAAGTAAAGTAAAAGTATAATAAGCGATATAGCATCTCTATCCTATGACTATTCATGTGTGTGTGCATTTGTGTGTGTGTGTGTGTGTGTGAGTGTGTGTGTGTGTATGTGTGTGTGTGTGTGTGTGTGTGTGTGTGTTAGTTTAGTAAGAGCTTTACGGCGCTTGCAACACAATAAGGTCATATAAGTGCCGAAAAATAGAGGTGTTACAAGAGAGTAACATACACAAAAAAAGAAGAGGGGGAGATAAGGATGATAGACGTTTGAGAGGAATAAAGGAGCAAATGACAACAGAGCACACGCCAACCAGTACCACACACCAACTAAACGAGTCAGGAGAAGGCTCAAGGAGAAAATCGACACGGCACAAAGTTGGGACACACTGCGACAGAGGAAGGAAATGAGTAGTAGAACTTACATGATACATTCCTTGAGGGACTCCTTGCTGGTGACATCATCAGCCTCGCACTCACAGTACTTGCCGTACCTCTTGGGGTTGCACGTACATTTGCCACATTCGTACGTACCGTTTCCCCCGGAGCAGAGCTCACTATTGGGCACCTGGGAATAGTCACGGTCACTTTTAAACATAATTTAGAAAAAATACATTTACAACGGAGTTTAGTTTTAGTACGAGTTTTACGGCACTTGCAATACAATAAGGTCATTTAAATGCTGAAGATTAGAGGTGTTACAAGAGAGTAACAAACACAAAAAGGAGGAGAGATGAGGACGATAGATGTTCGATAGGAAAGAAGGAGCAAACTACAATACTGAGCCTTATTTAGAAAAATTCTTAATTCTAAACATGAAAATTTTGTTTTCTTTTAATTCAGACACAGCCAGTTGTTTAGTTGGTTTTAGTAGAGGTTTTACGGCGCTCGCAACTGGTTAAGGTCATATGAGCGCCAAGAGATTAGAGGTGTTACAAGAGAGTAACAAACATAAAAAAGAAGAAGGGGAGATAAGGACGATAGACGTTCGATCGGAAAGAAGAAGCAAACCACACCAGAGCACCCGCCAACCACCCACTCACACATCCAGTTGGCACTCATCACTACTGACATGGGAGAACTGCCAAACCGTCTTACAACTCACCTCATTCTCCGGTTTTTCACATTCACATTCGCACATGAGGTCCAGGTCTAGAACTAACTTCTCCTGGTAGCCAGCCGGTTTTATCGAGATCTGTCTCCGCCACTCCTTCCTGTCGGCCGGGCATGCCGTAGCAGTGATTTCAACATCAAACGTCACCTGGAACAAAGTCATTAAAGGGTGTATAAAAACTCTGTTCTTGTTGGTTTGTTTTAGTAGAGGTTTTACGGCGCTCGCAACAGCATAAGGTCATATGAGCGCCAGAAGATTAGAGGTGGTTCAAGAGAGTAACAAACATAAAAAAGAAGGAGGGGAGATAAGGACAATAGGAAAGAAGAAGCAAACCACACCAGACCACCCACAAAAACTCTGTTCCTTGGAAATTACACTTACAGAAGTAGCTGACCACAAAAGAGCATTAAAAAAATGACCTGCCACCCAATAAGACAATCGGACAACAGAAATTGCAATTGGATAAATCTCTTCCACTATGAAAGACAAGTTTTTGGGACACCTGAATAGACATAAGGGTCTTGAACATCTAGCTCTCACTGGCAAAATTGAGGGCAAGCGAGGCAGGGGTAGGCCCAGAACAACATACTTAGGGAACCTAAACAAATGGGTAACAGTGAAAGATCAGGGAAACGTAGCTTTTTTAAGAGCATCCGAGCAAAGGAATGAATGGAAAACCATGATCGCCGATGTCTGTCGCAGATCTGGCACTGGATGAAGATGATGATGAAAGACACAAATTTTGATCTTTCATTTTTAACCAGCGTGAGTTATTACGAATATTTTCATGATGAAGTAATATGTTAAAATCATGTCAATACTTTTCCTTGCATTTTCATATTTGAAACATAAGCTCTGGTTGTTTTTTTTAGAAACTTTTTTACAGCGTTTGAAACCGCATAAGGTCATATGAGCACCAAGGGGTGGATGTCAACAGAGAAGTCCTTACAGGGAATCAGACTTACTCTGCTCACCTCTTTAGCTTCAATAGCATAAAGTCTGCTTCGACTATCAAGGAACCCCAGAAATAGCGGGTCACAAGAGTGTGACAAACATACAAAAGAAGTAGAGGAAAATGACGATAGTAAGGATTAGGAAAGAAAAACCCTCTTGCTGTTCAGGCTCAGTTATGAGCATGACATTGACGAATCAGCCCATTTACAATTACAATTCTACTGTGCATAAGAACATGGTTAATGTCCCCCCCTTTGGGAATGGCCTAAAGACACTTCAGTCAGTAGCACCGCCCTCAGGGGGAGGGGGGGGGGGGGGGGGGGGGGGGGATATGCTCTGATATTTCCTGTGGAAAAGATAAAAGCCACAGAGAATTGAAAAGTTTGAGTTTGAATAAGCACATCCACACATTAACAGTCATCCAGCACTAGGGAAAAGACAAGACAAACAAACAGACAGACACAAACAAGAGAAGGGAAGTAGAAAATTATGACCTACCAGTAGCACCTTCCAACCACCCAACAAAAAAACTAAAAGCTGCATGTATAAATTGCCAACTACCGAGGAAACTACTTTGTTAACTCCACCAATCCCAGGTGACCAAAAATTCACTTACAGTTTGTCCAATTTTCATATTGCTGCATTCACTGGTCTTTTTCTCTTCAGTTCTGAAAATGTACAAAAATTGCTCTCAATGGGACAGTTTCTGACAACTGATTCAATCATTAAAAGAATCTGTAACAAGGCACAACATCAAAAATGTGTAATTCTACAATTCAATCAGTAAGTTTAAAGTAACAAACATTTTACCTTTCAGTCTTTTTTTTTTTTTGGTAAAGTGTTTTACGGCGCTCGCAACTGCATAAGGTCATATGAGCGTGCGGGACACACCTAATAATATATTCAGTTGGTAGGAAATTTTGAATTTTGCCCACGTGGCAGCCGAAGCCTACTCTTATCGATTTTAGACGACCAAGGGATCTTTAACGTGCGCAACTTGCACACGGGCCCTCCGAGATTTTTCGCCCTTGTCTGAGAAGGCTAGGTGTAGATCTTTCTTACCAGAAGATCAGGGGTGTGGCAGAAAGACAGCAGTAAGGAGGAGCCAAGGAGTAGCAGTAGAAAGGCTGCAGAAAGAGTCAGGAGCCCAGAGGAGGGGGCTAAGGAGGTGAGGGGGTGGGGGCAGAAAGTGGAAATGAAAGCAGACAACAGAACATTGCTAGAGAGCAGGAAAGGAGGTGAAAGGAGACAATTTTAGAGAAGAAAATTTTTCGGTCGCTACCCGGATTCGAACCCGGGACCTTTGAATGAGAGGCCAACACCTTAACCTCTAGGCCACGAGAGCCCCCCTTTCAGCCTTTGCTTAAATTTTCAGGTATGACAGTTATATATAAATCATCTGCCATTACAAAATGAATCAATTCCAGTCGACTATCTACAATTTGGTCATCCATGCCAAGTGCTACATATAAAATTTCCCAAGAAACCGTTAAAATTGAATTTTTTTCAAAGTCAAAAGCACGGAATAGAACTTTGAGAATATGAGTTCAAGAAAAGGAGAGAATATTCATCAGATAAAAACTGACACTCCATTACTTACCCAAAGCATCGAGAGTAAAATTCCACTGTGATGTTGTCTCCCACGTTTTGTGTTCTCAGGCTGACCTTAGACGTAATTTTCTGCACAAGGAAGAAGAAAAATTTCATTTAAAAACGAGTAATTTGAAAGCTGACGAATATTATAATGCCATGCCAAAAGGCACCACAGGTTTTTAAAAAAAATCAATACTCTCTTGCCTTCTCTCTCGTTTCCATTTTAGTCTTTCTCACTTCGTCTCTTCCTTCCCTTTCTGCTATCCCACTTGTCTCCCTCCAGCTCTTTCTTTGCCCTCAGTGCCTATCCACTTCTGTCTTTTATATTTCTGGACTAGCCTGGAGTGGTGGTGAGGCGCTTTATCCTCAAATGCAGAAGACCCCAGTCTTGATTCTCATTTTTTAAACTTCAGTAGAGGTTTCACGGCGCTCGTAACTGCAAAAGGTCATATGAGTGCCAAAGGGTGGATGTCAACAGAGAAGTCCTTACAGGGAATCAGACTTACTCTGCTCACCTCTCTGGCTTCAACAGCACAAGGTCTGCTTCGACTATCAAGGCACCCCGGAAATAACGGGTCACAAGAGTGTGACAAACATACAAAAAGAAGTAGAGGAAAATGACGATAGTAAGGATTAGGAAAGAAAAAGATCAGGCACAGCTATGAGCATGACATTGTTGGATCAGCCCATTTACAATTCTACTGTGCATTAGAGCCAGAAATGTCCCCCCTTTGGGAATGGTCTAAAAACACTTCAGTCAGTGGCACCGCCCCGGGGGGTGGTTGTCTTGGACAGGTGACACAGTTTAGCGTCGGAAACTGACGATACACAACCATGGTTAAGAACCCAAGCGAAGAGCAGGTTTACCTTTCACCCTCCGAGACCTAACACTGACAACTCACTCTACAGAACATTACAGCAACTGCAGCAAACCTGCACTTATCACAACATGGCATTGGACAGAAGGGCGAGAGCCCAGCTGTTGCTGGATCGATAACAACAACGACAACAACTACGACAACAACAGTCTGGCGGTGGCATCTCTTAGGTGAGGATTCAGGACTGCCTCACCCGCTACCCAAGCGAGGCGGTGGCCCTGGCGAAGAGCGCGCTCTTCGGGGCTCCAAATATTTCGAACGGATAGGCTACCACACACACACAACAACAACACCACCAACAGCAACAACAACAATAAAACAACAACAACAACAGCAAGCACCTTGTAGTTGTCCTGGATGAGCTAACCACAACAACAACAACACCAACAATAAAACAACAACAACACCAACAAAAACGACGACAACAAAAACAACAACAACAACAACACCACCACCAACAACAACACCGCCACCACCACCAACAACAACAATAAAACAACAACAATAACACCAACAAAAACGACGACAACACCAACAACAACAACAGCAACAACACCAGGCACCTCGTAGTTGTCCTGGATGAGTTTGACGATGTTGGAGGAGTCGTTGGCCAACTCCCCCGTGGTGGAGCTCTCGATGTACTGACTCAGCTTCTCGTAGATGGGGAACTGGTCCTTGGTCACCGCGAAGATCACGCTCACGGCTTTCTCTTTGATCTTGGTGGCAATCTGACTGACCGACGGGTAATCCTGGACACAAAAGATTAGCGAAGTTTTAGTTTAGTTTCTAGTTTTAGTAGAGGTTTTACGGCGCTCGGAACTGCATAAGGTCATTTGAGCGCCAGAAGATTAGAGGTGTTACAAGAGAGTAACAAACATACAAAAGAAAAAGGGGAGATAAGGGCGATAGATGTTTGATAGGAAAGAAGAAGCAAACCACACCAGAGCACCCGCCAACCACCCACTCAGTACAGTTTCGTAAGGGGTTTTTTTCTTTGTTTTTTGCGTAAAAGTTTTATGGCACTTGCAACACAATAAGGTCATATGAGCGCCAGAAGATTAGAGGTGTTACAAGGCAGTAACAAACATAAAAAAGAAGGAGGGGAGATAAAGACGATAGATGTTTGATAGGAAAGAAGGAGGGGAGATAAAGACGATAGATGTTTGATAGGAAAGAAGGAGGGGAGATAAAGACGATAAATGTTTGATAGGAAAGAAGGAGGGGAGATAAAGACGATAAATGTTTGATAGGAAAGAAGGAGCAAACCACACCAGAACAACCAAGCAAAATTTTTAATGTTCTAAATTTACTGTTTCTTAATCTGTGATATCGGTTGTATGTACTTGAGAACTATTTTGTTATAATTCAAATTCTAAATGGTGAAACAAGCAAGAAGAGATATACAAGGAAGAGGTAAAATTGTTACGAATGAAATTTTTTTTTTTTTAATCTTTCCTGACAAATTCTGCTTTCTAGGGTAACTCTTTATCTCCGAGTGGTGTCAACCCACTACGCCGGGGCCCTTTTTTGGTGCTACATCGAAAAATGACAAAAACGTCATAAAATGGGTCATTAAATCAAAACTAGCAAACCTATTTTGATAGTTCTTCATCTAATGAATCAACTTCAGTTATAAGAGACCTGTTGCCGAAAAGTAATTTCATGTAGAAGTCGTGGTAAAAGAATGTACCTGCGCCGCTGTCAGCGACTCACCGGCACAGTGGTTCCGACGTGAGCCACTGGGAGCGGTTTGCCGGAGATAAAGAGTTTAGAAAAGTGTACCAGCTTGCCAACAATCTGTGTTTCCCAACAATGTACTCACAAGATTTGAGCTTTCTGTGTAAAGTCCTCCTTCCATGTGACACACGCCGTCGTTGGGTCGGACAATTCCTCCAAGCTGTAAATAATAATAATAATAATAATAATAGATAACATTTGTATAGCACAAATCCCCGCTCAACAGCAAGCTCTATGCGCTTCACAATCTCAATCTATACAATTACCCCAGCAGACCTGAGAGCATTCTGAAACAACCTCAACTTCCTGAGAAGCATAAAGTGCAAGCAGCCATTTAAAGGCGCTAAAACACTAACATACTGACAAGATCTTTCGTTGTCTATAGCCAAGTACCCATTTCCACCTGGGTGAAGTGAGGAAAATTCATGTAAAGTGCTTTTCCCAAGGACATAACGTCGGGCCCGCGGCTCGAACCCCTGAACCCGCAACCTCACGATTATGAGTCCGGTAGCCTAACCACTACGCCGCCGACGCCACATCAAACACATCATGGATCTCAACTCAGAATTTCAAAAAAGGAGGAACTTTCTGTGTGATCGCGACAGAAGACTATTTTCGCGAGACACCCATTATTATTATACTGTTTAACCCTAAAATGCTGAAATAAAAACCATCACTTTATCAAAACAAGGTTATTCCATACCAGTTTGAGGGCTTGAGAGATAATTTCAAGCAAAAGAGTCACTTACCAAATATTTACAATCTTGATTATTTACAGAAAGTGGTGGCGCATTACTGGAGGTGCCCCTCCCAGCAACTCTCTTTTAGTTTTAATAGAGGTTTTACGGCGCTCACAACGGCATAAGGTCATATGAGCACCAGAAGATTAGGTGTTACAAAAGAGTAACAAACACAAAAAAGAAGGAGGAGAGTATGTTTTTTTAGTAAGAGTTTTACGGCACTTGCAACACAATGTTCATATGAGTGCCAAAGATAAGAGGTGTTACAATAGAGTAACAAACACAAAAAAGAAGGAGAGGAGATAAAGACGACAGATGTTCGAAAGGAAAGAAGAAGCAAACCACACCAGAGCACCCGTCAACCACCCACATTTAATCTTCATTCAAAATCAGAACAAAATGTAATACTATAGTATTCACTGTTCACTCACTGGGGTATTGTCAGTAGGAAAGGAACAGCACCCCCCCCCCCCCCCCCCCCCCCCCCCCCCCCGGGTCTCTAAATGATTTACCTGTTAACATGAGAACAGAACAAGTTAAGACATAACGCACAGACTCTTTTTATTGTTTTAGTACGAGTTTTACGGCACTTGCAACACAATAAGGTCATGTAAGTGCCGAAGATTAGAGGTGTTACAAGAGAATAACAAACACATAAAAAAGGAGGGGAGATACCCGCCAACCACCCACACATGTAGGTAGTCCTTCGTTGCCGAAGATGACGATGAATCTGTGGACGCGCATGTGGCTGTGCAATCTAATCCTGGATGAACAATGTCTGTTGCAGTGGGGACACTGGAATGTCGTGGTTGTGGTGGTTGGATTATGTCTCCTCTCTCTTCTGATTGTCAGCCTCTCCCTGTAGTTTGTATCACTGTTTCTGCTGGCAATACGGACGGCCCTGCGCCAGGCGTTTCTTTCGGTGGCGGTTCTTTTGAGTTCTTTGGGGGTTACTTGTGCGAGGTGAAGGTTTTCCTTTATCGTGTCTTTGAACCGCTTTTTGGGCCTCCCGAGATTTCTTTTGCATCTTGCGAGTTCACCCACACATAGACTCTTATTAATTGCAGTCAAATATTTAGCAGAAAAAGATGGGCTGAAAGGAACATGCTCAAAAGCTATAGGATTAACAACAACAACAAGACTCAAGAGAGGAGGTGGCCCTGGCGAGCGAAGAGCACGCTCTTTGGGGTTCCAAACATTTCGAACGGATACGCTACCACACACACACACACAATAACGACAACAACAGAAAAAAGAATTCTTCATTCCCTGCGGTGCACCAATGTAAAACAAACTCATGCACTGGGACCAAGGAGAAACTGTACACATACCTTTCCATCCCCAGCGTAATGGAAGCCATCATCAGTTGAAAACACCAGCATCCTTCGGGAGATAGGCCTCCAACCAATCTCTCCCTGGGAGAAGAAAAATACATCCAAGATTTTACAACAAGTACAGTTTAGTCTTTAGTTTTAATAGAGGTTTGACGGCGCTCGCAACTGCATAAGGTCATATGAGTGCCAGAAGATTAGAGGTGTTACAAGGGAGTAACAAACATAAAAAAGGAGGAGGATAGATGGTTGATAGGAAAGAAGGAGCAAACCACACCAGAGCACCCGCCAACCACCCACTAGTCAGGTTCAATGTGGTAGCGAAATACCAATGTATTGGGCATTTCTGACCAAAAGAAAAGTTTTTCGGGTTCAAAGGTTGCAAGGAACCCTGTGCTGCAAAACTGAAACATATATATGCTCATTTCAACTCCCTATTCCAGTTCGAAAATGGAGATTGATTTCAGATTTGTCTTCATCATCCAGTGCCAGATCTGCGACAGACATAGGCGATCATGGTTCTCCACTCATTCCTCAGCTCGGATGCTCTCAAAAAAAAGCTTTCCCTGATCTTCCCCTGTTACCCATTTGTTTAGGTTCCCTAAGTATGTTGTTCTGGGCCTTCCCCTGCCTCGCTTGCCCTCAATTTTGCCAGTGAGAGCTAGATGTTCAAGACCCTTATGTTTATTTATGTGTCCCAAAAACTGAATTTGTCGTTTCCTGATTGTTTTTACAATGAGCGTCCCAGATTTTTCTTATTTCCCTCGAAACTATCCCAGTGGCACTAACCACTTTTTAGATTAGACCCCTTCAAATGTCTGGGATTTATTTCTTTTTCCCTATCTCCTTTTCCCAATCTAAACATTTGAAAGGGGCCAATGATGGCTCTTGCACCTTTTTATTTCACCTCTATACCCACAGCAAGAGTTAGTTTTAGTAGAGGTTTTACGGCGCTCGCAACTACATAAGGTCATATGAGCGCCAACAAACATAAAAAAGAAGGAGGGGAGATAAGGACGATAGATGTTTGGTCGGAAAGAAGCAAGAGTTTAAATAAAAGTAGTCGTGCATAAAAATTCAACCTCTTCGGTACTGTTTTCTTTAGATGCTAACATTCAGGAGACTAACCTCACAAGCCACTGCCTGCATGATGGCATCAAATCCACCTTCTGGACCGTCCAGATTACCGGAGACACGCGTCTCTCTCACTTTTTTCTGGGAAAAAAAAAATCCAGTCATCATCAATACATCACCAGAGCTTGAAGAAATACAGTAACAATTGTCTAAGTTTAGTTTTAGTAAGAGTTTTACGGCACTTGCAACGCAATAAGGTCATATAAGTGCCGAAGAATAGATTATGTGTTACAGAGAGTAACATACACAAAAAAGAAGGAAGGGAGATAAGGACGACAGGTATTTGATAGGAAAGAAGGAGCAAACCACACCAGAGCACCCACCAACCACCCACAAAATTGTCTAAGAAGGGTACCCATTGTCAAGGAGAAAAGTGGTTGTCTTAGACAGGTGCATGTTCGGCACAATCTCATTATGTTACAAAAAACGCAAGGGGGGGGGGGGGGGGGTGTGAGGGGGTGGAAAGAGTTAGAAGCAACCTCTGCCACACAACAACTAAAGTTTGCTTCCCAAGGGGGTTGCTGTTAGGCGGACAACACTGTATATCTGAAATTTCTATTAAAGGTTGACAAAAAATGAAAGAAATGTAGGGCTCGAGAGTCATCGACACCACTGTATAGCAGAAATTTCTATTAAAGGTTGACAAAAAATTTAAAAAAGAAATGTAGTGCCCGAGAGTCATCATTACCCGAGTCACCAAATCCCGAGAAAGAACTGATCAGAGTTAATAAAGTAAAAGTAAAGACCACAAAAATGATTACCGCAAACTTTGCTGTTTCCAAATCCAAGCTGAGCTGATTCTTGAACCCATACGGAGCTTCACAAGCTTCCCCGGTGACCATCCTACAAGGTTCTTTCAACCTGAAAAATCAAACACCACTCAAAATGAAAAGGACGACCCTCTTCCTACGGGAAACCCCCCCCCCCAGAAATTATTCTTTTAAAAAAAAGTTTTAGTAGAGGTTTTACAGCTCTCGCAACTGCATAAGGTCATATGAGCGCCAGAAGATTAGAGGAGTTAAAAGAGAGTAACAAACATAAAAAAGAAGAAGGGGAGATAAGGACAGTAGAGGTTCGATAGGAAAGAAGAAGCAAACCACACCAGAGCACCCGCCAACGACCCACATTCAACTTCAATTCAATCAATTCAACCACAATTATGCAAATAAAATTATAACGAACAGCACTGTTGTAGATGTTGCCCATTCTGCCATTTCTAATTAGCAGCCAATTCAGCTATGATGATACAATAAGATTGTACTTTTTATCTGCACAAAGAGAAATTTGCTGCAGCATGGAGATCACATGCATGCAAACGCACTCGTCAACACACAGATGCGCACGCACACACATTCGCACACACACTTTCTCTCTCTCTCTCTCTCTCTCTCTCTCTCAAACACACACACATTCAACACACACACAAACACACATTCATAGACACGGATGCACACTCGTCAACACACAGATGCACACGCACACACATGCGCACACACTTTCTCTCTCTCTCTCAAACACACACACACACACATTCAACACACACACGAACACACATTCATAGACACGGATGCATACAAACAAATAGTCATTGGATAGACAAACAAATATACATTATCTTCACACGTCTACATCGTATACTCACTTCCTGGGAACCGTGCTGACGTACGGAGACACTACTTTATCCACAAAAGATCCAAATCCCAATCGAAAGTTTTTGGTGATTGCAGACATTTTCTCAGCTGTTGGGGGGAAATGTGAAAAAAAGAACAATTTCAATAAAAATCTCACAGCATCATAATACATTAAAACATAGAACCTTCGTTCAAAATTACATAGCGAGAGTTCCGGTCAGTTCAACCCCAGTTGGGGTGACTGTCCTTCACCTTCAACTATTTACAAAGTTACTACTCAACTTCCGCCAAACTCGGCACAAAACGAATTAAGTGGCAAAACTAGCACTGGAGTCCGTTCCCATACATGTGACGGGAGCACAAGGTACCGAACAAAATCGCAAAGTCCTTCCCGTCTGGGGGTACGGGACCCGTACCGACGAACTGGGCACCCGTCTCGTACCTGTGACGGGAACCGTAGTCAGTGAGTTAAAACATAGAACCTTCGTTCAAAATTACAAACTAAAGGGAAAGAACGAGACAACAAAAGCAAACTCACCAATCAAATTTCCGAGTTCTGCAAGATTTTCTTTGTCATCTTCCATGGAATTAGAAAGATCCATAAGGTAGTACAAGTCTACAGGGTAGTTCTCAGCTTGACGGAAGATCAACGGAATCCTGATTGGTTTGTCTGTGAAAAAACAAAGCAACATTAGCATGTCATTTTTTAGAGTTTCAGTAAGAGTTTTACGGCACTTGCAACACAATAAGGTCATATAAGTGCCGAAGATTAGAGGTGTTACAAGAGAGTAACATACACAAAATAGAAGGAGGGGAAAGAAGGAGCAAACCACATCAGAGCACCCGCCAACCACCTGCAAGCAAGTCATTGAGGGGCATTGTGACCACAAAAAAACTCTGTTTAAAAATACCCAATTTCTACTGTACAGTGAAAGCAATCAGTCTAATAAGACAGAATCATCAAATTTGAGAAACTGATACATTTTTCACTTGCACTGTACAAAATCATTATTACGACAAATTGCAAAGCTTTAAATAATTCCTGAATGCTATGGTACTCTTTTATTACACACTATCAAAGAAAAAATCCGCAACAATGCATTCTGATCTTTAAAACAACATTCCCTTGGGTTTTTTTTAAACAAGAGATAAGATTAAGTAAAAGGATACACACAGACAACTGGATCGATAACAACAATGTGATGGACAAGGGAAAACAACACACAAAACGAATCATTCGAAACTCTCAACAACAAAAAATCATAGAGCTTAACTCTTTATCTCCAGCAAGCCGCCCCCAGTGGCTCGCGGTCGGAACCACTGTGCCGGTGAGCCACTGACAGCGGCTCGGGCAGATTCCTTTACGACGACTTCAACATCAAACTACTTTCCAGCAATTGCCGAAAACAGGTCTTTTATAACCGAAGTTCATTCATTAGATGAAGAACTATCAAAATAGGTTTGCTAGTTTCGATTTAATGACCCATTTAGTGACCTTTTTGTCATTTTCAGATTAAGCACCAAAAAAGGGCCCCGGCGTAGTGGCTTTACCCCACTCGAAGATAAAGAGCTAAACAGACGACAAATATTTAATTTGACAGTGACACAACACTGTGACATTTCGTAGTCTCAGGACTAACTTCCTCATGAGGAATATTGTCATGCCTTCTATATTCTACTTTAAGAGTGATAAAATCTTTTGATTCATTCAATATTAGCTGAAGTCATTTCTGTTTTTAAAATAATAAGCAGAACATTTGGAGTAATTTTCTTTTAGTCCGAACACAATGTTTTATGTTACAGTTGTACGTTGTACTGTATTGTAAAGCACTCAGAGCCTTTGTACTTTAATCGGGGTTGAGCGCACTATAAACGTCATTTTTTATTATTATTATTATTATTATTATCATTATTATTATTATTATTATTATCATTATTATTATTATCATTATTATTACAGCAACTCACTTGGTCTGACATTGACCCTCACTTTATTATTATTATTATTACAGCAACTCACTTGGTCTGACATTGACCCTCACTTTCTGGGGCTGAATCTGCACAGCATCCTCTGGTTTGTCCCCATCTTGCACAGCGCGGTTCTGTGGAGAGGATGCGATAAATAAATAATTATAATAGCCTATCACTCGGTCACCTTCTGACGATGACCAAGACATCTGCAGAGGAAGGTATTTCTTGTTTGTTTGTTTGTTTGTTTGTTTGTTTTGGTACAGTGTTTTACGGCGCTCGCAACTGCATAAGGTCATATGAGCTAGCAGGACACACCTAATATTTTCAGTTAGAAGGAAATTTTGAATTTTGCCCGGGTGGCGGCCGAAGCCTACTCTTATCGATTTTAGACCACCAAGGGATCTTTAACGTGCGCAACTTGCACACGGGCCCTCCGAGATTTTTTCGCCTTTGTCCGAGAAGGCTAGGTGTAGATCTTTCCTACCAGAAGATCATGAGTGTGGCAGAAAGACAGCAGTAAGAAGAAGCGAAGGAGTAGCAGTAGAAAGGCTGCAGAAAGAATCAGGAGCCCAAAGGAAGTGGCAAAGGAGGTAGGTATTTCTTAAGCAAAACAGAAGAAACAAAGGTTAAGATGACTTAAGGCGTCAGCAATGGCCAATGAGACCATTTCTGTTTAGTTTTTTAGTTTTAGTAGAGGTTTTACAGCGCTCGCAACTGCATAAGGTCATATTAGCGCAAGAAGATTAGAGTTGTTACAAGAGAGTAACAAACATGAAATAGAAGAAGGGGAGATAAGGACGATAGATGTTTGATAGGAAAGAAGAAGCAAACCACACCAGAGCACCCGTCAACCACTCACGATCATTTCTGGCAGAAAAGAGATTGCCACATTTTGAGCATTTAGCAGCTTCACTTTTACTTGAGGATGTGCACAGCTTGTTGGCTTCTCTCTTAGCTTCAGTTTTTCTTATTTGAGAAACCTCACATGACTTGCCGCCCCCTGTAAAAAGGTTACTTTGTAAAATAAACCCACTGACAAAACCAGGCATATCTCTGAAAGTTTCCAGAGCCAGAGAGAGAGAGAGAGAGAGAGAGAGAGAGAGAGAGAGAGAGAGAGAGAGAAAGAGAGAGAGAGAGAGAGAGAGAGAGAGAGAAAAAGTGTTTTACAGAGCGGGTTGTCCCAGCATGTGAGACATGTATTTACTAATGTCCTGTCTTGTTGTGCGCATGCGTGAGTGCACCTAACCTTTCTAACGTCTACTGCCATTGTTAACGACCAAGACAAATTTCTCCCTGCAAGATGAATAAAGATTGTCATTGTCATTATCATTGTCCAAACTGTACTCACATCAATTTTCAGTAGTTCGTCCTGTGGGTACTGGATGTCGTTCGTGTCACACTTTCCCCGTGCATGGTTCTCAAAAGTGTCACAGCGCAGTCGGTTTTCTTGTTCGTATTTCTGGGGAAAAAGAGAAGCACAATTAAGAGACACATATTCCAGACCGAGTACTGAACACTTTGCCATCACAAGGCTCATATAATAAAAATCCTTGCCATCAAAGGCAAAGGCATTTTCAGGAAAATCTAAACATACTGGGTGATAAACACCGCCGATTGGCGCGATGTGACAGCAAAGTGTTAAAAACGGATATCTTATAAAAACGAAATAACACTTATTTTTCCATGTCAATTCCTCTACAACAGACACAACATCAATAATCGGGATAAAATTTTAAGTTATCATTTGAAAAGATACTTCTTCAACAGACTTTCATTGATCAATCCTGTGCGCTTTGGAAAGGAACAAAAAAAAAAATTGTAATGGAGACCATCTTACCAGTGAATCCTGGAACTTTTAGTTACAATGTAAAAAAATTGTAGTTTATAGTGAAAGACAATAATGGTAGCAATATCATGCAATGCAAGACATTTCAGAAAGCAGCTTGCCTTTTTTTATTTCGTCTCTGTGCACAGCTAAATAAAGTAACAGTATTTACGTTACACTCAAAATGAAAAAAAGAAAGAAAAAAATTCAGGATTGGAAGAGGAAGGGAACGCTAGGACAGAAGAAAAAATGTTTAGTTCTAGTAGAGGTTTTACGGCACTCGAAACTGCATAAGGTCTTATGAGTGCCAGAAGACTAGAGGTGTTACAAGAGAGTAACAAACATAAAAAAGAAGAAGGGGAGATAAGGACGATAGATGTTTGATAGGAAAGAAGAAGCAAACCATACTATAGCACCCGCCAACCACCCACGAAGAAAAGATGGGACCAGAAACCAATTGTCTATTTTTACAGAATCAAAGAACGAAACCAATAATTTTGCAAGGGGTTATGTTAGTGATGTCAAAAAAGTATACATTTTTTATATTCACAGAATTATATTGATTAATGCAAAGGAATCTGATCTTGAGAATTAGGGTTTTTTTAGAAACAAATGACAAATGTGTGTGTGTGTGTGTGCGTGTTGGGGGGGTGTGTGTGGGTGTGGTGTGTGGGTGGGTGTGTGTGTGTGTGTGTGCGCGTGCGTGTGTGTGTGCTGGTGGTGGTGTGTGTGTGAGTGTGTGTGTGTGTGCGCGTGCGTGTGTGTGTGCTGGTGGTGGTGTGTGTGTGAGTGTGTGTGTGTGCGCGTGTGCGTGCCTGTGTGTGTGTGTGTGTGTGTGCAGGACTCCCCTTTTCAAGCCAACTTAAGAGGTTCCTTCACTCTTTAGTTTTCTATCTTAAGGGGTATTTAAACCCTTGTTTTAGAAACTTAAAGGGAAGTTGGGTTTGTTATTTTGTTCATGACGGATAAAATAATCCCCAAAAGTCTATTATCTCCTATTTCATAAGAAGAATTTTTGCATGTAAATATTTAACTTACAGGAGGGAGGGAGGGAGGGAGGGAGGGAGAGAGAGAGAGAGAGAGACAGAGAGAGACACAGAGAGAGACAGAGAGAGAGAGAGACGGGCTGGGTAGACAGAGAGAGAGACAGAGAGATAGAGAGAGAGAGAGAGAGAGAGAGAGAGAGAGATCAGAGAGAGAGAGAGAGAGAACAGAGAGAAAGAGAGAGAGATGAGAGAGAGAGAGAGAGAGAGAGATCAGAGAAATAGAGAGAAAGAGAGAGAGGGAGCGAAAAAAAAGAGAGAGAGATCAGAGAAAAAGAGAGAAAGAGAGAGAGGGAGCGAAAAAAAAAGAGAGATCAGAGAGAGATCAGAGAGAGAGAGAGAGGGAGATCAGAGAGAGAGAGAGAGAGAGAGAGAGAGAGAGAGAGAGAGAGACAGAGAGAGAGACAGAAAGAGAGAGGGCGATCAGAGAGAGAGACAGGCTGACTATAGAGACATTGCCTCTCACCTCCGACACACACCAGCCACACTGTGGGCCAGTGGCTATACATGCTGCACAAGAGTCTTGGGCACTGGCAGCCAAACAGGGATTTCTGTCCCCACTTCCTGCAAACACGGAGAAAGAGAAAGGTGAATGAAATCTACATAATATACTGCACTGTTTAACAGGAAACGTGAAATATGCTGCACAAACAATTGGTACAAACTTTGTCAAAGCTTCAAAACATCCAGCACGATCACAATAATATCAATACCTAAAAAAAATAGCTGATGGTTAAAAGTACAAAACTCAAAAATAGTTACCAACCAAACATTTAAGAAATTCAGGAGGAAAATAGCAGGGCTAAAAAAATATCATATCTCCCATTATCTGCCTAATTGGCAAGACAGGGGGTTGACAGTCAAGAGATGAGTGCCAATTGTATTATTGTTCTTCTCTTGTATTCCTTGGCTGTGTGGTGCGTTGTGGTTCACTGACTTCACAAGCAGTCTACTGACTGTTTAGAAATTTGTCTACATACATGATCATGATGTTTTGAAAATTATGTCTTTGTGGTGAAACGAAATTTCATTATATTTGCAATTTATTGAACTACACTGGAATAACAAATGATGCCTTTGGGAGGTTCAAAAGGTCTTGTAGCCATTATAGGTTGGGTTGGTATTTTTTATCCGTCTGCAGGCAATCAAGAAAGTCATTTTGGATACAACAGTAACTAATGAAAAAAGTTAGTGTTGGGATGTAGGTGTTTCTCATTCAAGACACTGTTGCTTTTTAAATAAAAAAGTTTGACTTTTTGTCCTAATTTTTTTTTTCTTTTCATTACAACAAGAGGTCCACAGCCAGCATTTTAATTTTGTTAGTCTGTTGCCATTGCATTCATGAAAGACAAAACCAGAGCTCTACATCCTGTAGAGTTAAGTAGACGAAATGGTGATATCCTCAGGTCTGACTGCTGTATCTGTGTTGAAAAACAACCCCAGACCATGCTCAAGGTGTGGTGCGAAGCCTGGCTCGCATCCGCTGTCTCTTACATACCAAGAGGCCCTTAATTTTATTATTTCTCTTTTCGCAGACATTACACGCATGATTTGTAGTAGTTCAATCTGCTTACCTTGAGACAAAACCTCTGAACAGAGGAATGCTAGAGACAAAAGCAACAATGTGCACAGTGTCATGTTTATGCTTTTGGGGGAGACAGGTCTGAAAATGAACCAAAAAAATGGAGACACAATAATGAATAATATTAATATTATATAAATGCCTCTTTTATCAGAGATAGAAAAATGGAAAAAGTACTAGACGACTTTCTAAAAAAAGTAACATTAAACGATTTTTTAAACCCCTCTGATCTTACTGGCCTGAGAAAAGTTGTAAATAAAACTGGCATCCAGTAGGCTACTGATCTGGAATTTGGGTAGACTGTTTCAACTGTACTGTTTGAGTTTGGAGTACACACATGAAGCTACAGTACAGCAAAGATGGTAAATAACAAGATGGGCCACTCAGCCAAAAAAGTGTCCGCAGGAAGTATGCTTTTTGCTTCAGATGGCGCTGCAGTCTGTTTTGAAGCTCTCTTTCGTTTTTCCAGAAGAAGAATAGGAATAGCACCTCCTTGCGTGCGCAGTTCGACTGCTGTTCATCAGCAGTTCGGGTACGTTCAGTGCGGAGAATTAGGTTTTTTAAAATTTTAATGACCTCTCGCCTTTCATTCTAAAGTCAAATTAAACGAAGAAAACCTTCACCCTTTCCTCCGGAAGAGGTTTTTTGTCAGCGTAACCATTTTTTAAAAAGCGTTCTTCCGAAATTTATCCCAAAACATGCTAGTTTCACTTTCATTTTGTAAAACTCAAGTAGGGTAACTCTGTTCGCAAAGAGTGCGCTTTTGTGAAGAGGGCGAGGGCGCCACCAAATTTTGAGGACACTTTTTTAATTGGCTCAAAGAGAGAAGTGGCCCATCTTGTTATGTACTATCTTTGAGTACAGCGAGCACCTAGCACACCTCTGTGATTGGCCAAAATATATATTAATGACATGATATTTCTCCCATCTATTTTTGTCGTCTTCCGGGGCTTCCCTCGCCAGTTGACAAGATTTCACGGTGGCAGGCCGGCTTTGCCGCTATGCGCGTGATAGTCTAGGTCATTAGGTTTCATTGCCGCCTGCTGTGTGTGTGTGTGTGTGTGTGTGTGTGTGTGTGTGTGTGTACAACTTTGACTTTGAGGAGAAGAAAACTTATGGAACGAGAATTGATGAGATTGTTTATTTTATAAATAAAAGACACGAATTACATTATACAAAAAAACAAACATGGCGAGATAGTCAACAGTTACTGCCAAGAGTCTTGGGGGAAACCCCGGAAGACGACAAAAATGGATGGCGGCAATACGTCATTATATTTAGGCCAATCACAGAGATGTATCATGTGCCATGTGCTTGCAGCGGCTTGCTGTGTAGCTTCAAAACATGTGTTTGGAGTTTCCCAACAAACAAACAGTAGACAAAGATCTTAGATCTTTAGAAGAGATTTAAGTTTCAGCAGAACAAGATTCTAGAATCTAGGCTAAATCAAGGCCTTACCTTGTTGCCTTGAAGATCTACAGACTACTGAGTTACTAAGTAGTAAGCCAGTCTAAGTTGTAAAAGTGACAAAGTAGTGTAGAGAAGTACAGACTAGACTCTCGACTAGACTCTAGAATTTTAGATTTATTACAAGATGCAAAACTGGTTAATCTAGATCTATCATGAAATAAAATAAGTTAAAGAACAGACACACAAGTTTGCGTTGACAACTAAACGTATCATAAACGGTCACTATTCCACTTTCACAGTTTAACCTCCACAATTATGAGAGAAGATTGAACAAGAAACGAGAAATCAGGAAGTGAAGAGTGAGTAACCTTTAGTTTCCAGTCTTAGAACCGAGATCTAGGTCAAGCGACAGGGCTACTAACGGCGAAAATCACAAGCTAACTCTAAGCAAACAATGACCTTTTCAAAACAAAACATGTCATCAACTTATGGCATGCCTTCGTGTTTTAATGTGTACGTTTTCGATCGTTAATTGACCACAAAACTTTACCTTGTGCTCCCGAAAACACTGTACTGTTGAAGGATGCTGTTACTCACACTGTTCGTTCCCTTCTTCCGTCTCTGGACCTGGCCCCTGCTTTCTGAGTTGTAGTTCTTGGCTCTTGGGTTCTTAGTTCTTGGTCTGACGTCACACACCGGAAAAGCAAAAGGAAGGGATAAAATTCTTTCGGCGTGTGCTCATTATTACGTACTCGTACGTACGTTACGGGTGAACGTGTCACTCACATTTGACCATCCCATCGTGGATTGACTAATTATATAACCTGTAGGCCTACAACAAGGAGCTTAAAAATCTCCTTGGCCTACAATACAATGAAACTCACCACCGACGGGGGAGGGGGGGGGGGTGTAATCGTACTGATTCGTACTTATTATGATCAAAGTGTCTAGCCTAGTCAAATTCAAAACAGCAGAATTCGAGTTAGCGGCAGTTTTAGGAGCTAGGCCTATCTTACGTTCACCATTCGTTATTCGCGGAATTTTATAATAGACTTTCATTTCTTCATGTATGTCCTGTTACAAGTGAAGATCTAAAACGGATCGGTGGTCAGGGCTTGCAACATTTCTGTGCATGAATACTTTTATTTTTTAAAACAACAACAACAAACATCAGCTTGTTCAGGTTCCTATAATTTAACATAATCCCTCGGTTCAGTTTTCGGAGTAGGCTAATTGAATTTATTATTGACCTAGTATTATAGCAACTGTCTCGTTTGCCTTTAATTTTCCCATGAAAGTAGATAATGTCCAAGGCCTTTATAACGATTTCCTTCGATGAAATTCTCAACAGTCTCATTATTTTAACTGTCTGTTTATTTTTATTTCTTGCTTTCGCAACGGTAGGCCTACCCCTAGACGGTCAGAGGGCTTGTAGTCGGCTGTGTGGCATGTTAGTATAAGAACGTATAGGCCTATCCCATTTTAATTGAACCCGTACTTTGCCATTTACATGAGTGAAAATTTAATAGGCCCACGTACGCTGCGCTACCCCCCC